CTGTCCTGGAACTCACCCTGTAGACCACTCATGGAGATCCACTTGCCTCTCTGCCTCCCAAGTGCTGGGATTAAAGGCCTGTGCTAACATGCCTAGCTTCATTCCCTTTGATTATTTAAAAATGTGTTTTCACACCTCTTCAGCCTCCATGTTGGGCTTTGATGTATCCCTTGGTCAAGCAGAAGACCTAAGAGCTCCAAGTTCTAATCCCAACTCTCCCTTGTGCGCCATGGTCTTAAACATGTAGGACACAGAAGTTCTTCCTGCCTTGAATGCATTGTTGCATCTCGTGTGGACGGTGGCATGCAGCTTGTCTGGGGTATCATCACATCCTTCCTGAACTCCTGAGGAGAGCTGCCAGGCTTCTTGACCCTTCCTCCTGGCCCTGGGGGGTTCAGCGGAGGTTTTCCCACTCTGTACTGGTCTTTTCTGATAGAAATGCCCTGCACCTGCCCTGGGATTCTGCAGTCCCCCTCCTGACCCACTTTTTCCTGCATACACATAAGGGTGTTTTTTTTTTTTTCATCACAGAAGTCAGGGAGACAGCGACATTGGTAACAAAAGGACATACAGTAACAGACAAAAGGGACGAATGGAGAGGTCAGGGAGGGAAGAGACAAGATGAGGGAGAGTCTTGGCTGGCTTCCTTTTGTTTTGAGCTATATATTAGAACATCTTAGAGTGATAAAGTGCTCCTTGAGACAGTTCCCAAGGTCCCGCACAAGATGGGGCGGGGGTGTGTGTGTGAGGTGAGGGTCCCCAAGGTCCTGTATAAGGGGCGGGGTGAGGTAAGGGTCCCCAGGTCCTGCACAAGGTGGGTGGGGGGGGGTGAGGTGAGGGTTCCCAAGGTCCTGTACAAGTGGGGGGGGGTGAGGGTTCCCAAGGTCCTGTACAAGGGGGGGCGGTGAGGTGAGGTTCCCCAGGTCCTGCACAAGGGGTGGGGCTGAGAGACAAGGAGTGCTAACCACTTAGGGAAAAGCCTCCTCTATAATGTTCCACGACAAATTGGCCCCGTATGCTGTTTGCCTTTACTTGGGAGGACCATGGAAATCGCGCACATCTCCACATTTCCCAGTGTGGATAAGATGGTTTTGTGTAGAGAACTGGAGTCTGCATGGGACAGAGCCACAGTTCCCGAGTAGGAAGCCCCTGTGAGGAAAGGGGGAACGGGAAGATCAGATGATTGGGTGTGCTCACTGCAGACTCACGCTGAGAGAGAGAGCCACATCCCTGAGGGAAGCATGGATTAAAAGTCACCCCAGAGTTTAGGACAGCATGAACCCAGAACAGAGGGAGGTCTCACAGCCGCCCCCGCCCCATGCAGAGGCCTTGAAGTCCCGCCTACAGGCCCAGCCTTAGCTCCTAAAGGTCAAACTCTCAGAACTACTGTACTGGGGAGACAGTTTCTAACCTGCAAAATTTGAAGAGTGCATTCAAGCCATGAGAGATGACTGATGTGTAAGTCCATGAGAGTGTGACTAAGAATAAAGCAAAATGAGAGCCAGAGATGGTCCTGGAAGGCGGTGGTTGAGGGAAGGGGTGGGTATAGGGGATTGTAAGCCAGAAAGAGCAACGCGTAAAAGAAGATGGCTCCCTAATTTATTCACGTGCTGGGGGCTCAGCTTTAAAACTTGTGTGTGTATGTTTTTTTAAGGTTACTGCTTTGAAAAGTTATGTGGCCTTGGCTTTCATTTCAGACTCCTGTTTTGATAAAAGTCTCCCCTGGCCTTGAAAAAGAAGATGGTGATATTCCTAGTAGCCACAAAAGAGAAACAGGTATGCTGGGAGGTGGCAGAATTTTGATTTGAAATTCCCTGTGGAAGCATGAGGGTACCTTGGAAGAGGTCCACACACCCTGAGCATGACCATAGCATCCTATGAAGAGACGATCATAGCCTTGAAGCTTCTACTCCATCTGCTAATGTCCTCTTTGGGGACACATCTGGACATGACCAAGAAGAACAGATGCTGGGGTGGAGGCAGGTGGGACTCTGCCTGGCCCTCCCTGCTGGCACAAAGCCTCTTCTCTTGAATTTCAATTTCAAGCTTTGGATTTGAGATTTGAGGCATAAGTTCACTACCAGATCTCACCACAAGGTGGCGATATACCAGAGCCATGCTTGCCTGGAGAGTAAGGATCGAGTGCCAGCTTGGCCCATGGAGGTTATTGTTTAAATGTTCTTTTTCTTACTGAATATAGAGCATACAGAAGAATCTACAATCCTGCCAGAGCCCGTGGATGCTGAAGACCGTTGCCTAATAACCCGCAGCTTTAATGTTCAGTCAGAGCCTGCTGTGAGTAAAGGGAGCTGGGAAAAGAAGGCTGGGAATCTGTGGCCCGCAGGATCGACAAGCACTTCCTCTCTTGAATGCTAGCCCGTTTTCTTTTCAACAGCTGTCTGCCATTAATTTATCTGTCTCCCTCTTCAGATTGCATTCATCCCTGAGCTTATGTATTTAGTATTATATTTGTTTGTTAATCATGGCTCTCCCATGAAATGCCTGCCTTGTACCCTTATTTAGGATCTGGAGAAAAAATGCCTGCAACTTAATGTAGGGAAGGAGCCTCATGCTGAGGACCAGAGGTGGTTTCCCTCTCTAGCTGGGGGCATATGGATGTGCTGACTCATACTGCTGTGCTTGGGGCTTGGTATCCACCAATCAAGGTGTCCTAGTTAGGGTTTCTACTGCTGTGATGAAACACCATGACCAAAGCAAATTGGGGAGGAAAGGGTTGATTTGACTTACACTTCCACATCAGTGCTCATCATTGAAGGAAGTCAGAGCAGGAACTCACACAGGACAGGAACCCAGAAGTAGGAGCTGATACAAAGGCCATGGAGGGATGCTCCATATCTGTTTGCTCATCGTGGCTTGCTCAGTCTGCTTTCTTATAGAATCTAGGACTACCAGCACAGGATGGCACCACCCTCAATGGGCTGGACACTTCCTTATCAATCACTAATTAAGAAAATACCCTACAGGCTTGCCTATAGCCTGATCTTATGGAGACATTTCCCCCATCAGGTTCCCCCCTCTCAGATGATTCTAGCTTGTGTCAAGTTGACGTAAAACTAGCCAGCACAGGAGGTGACATCTAGCTCTTAGGTCTAGCCTTCTTAGAATTTAAAAATAGGCACAAAGTTATAGATCGGCTGGGGCAAGAAGGACTGGTATGCTGTTTCATAGCAGGCTGACTGTGTAATAATGATGCCAGAAGAAAGAATTTGGGGTAGTTTCACTATAAAGAAATGATAAATGTTTGAGGACATATATATGCTTAACTTGACTTGTCAAGTTTTTACAATGCAGACAATGGAACAAAATCTTACATAATACATCACACATGTGCAGTTTTATGTGTGAGTTTAAAAATTAATATTACAGAGCACCCTCTTGGCTTATTTAAGCATTTATTCCTCATTTCCTTATGTGAACACACGCCACGGAGGTGTGTGACCGATAATGTCAGGATTTTCATGTTTAACAGCTAGAGATTAGTCTTCCAGGTAAACTGTCACCTCTTCATGTTACTGCTCTGGTGTCTTGGGAAGTTGAACCCTCGCCCCTAGTTCTGAAACTCCTGGAGACATCCTTGCAGTGCTTCCTCTGGACCCGTAACGCACCATGGTCATCTTTGATAGGGGCAAGTCCTTGTTTGTGATTTGGAAGTGATAGTTGTGGAACAACAGAGTCGTTGGGAACCAAGTTGTGTTCAGCTGTTCTTCAGAGGTGGAGCAGGTCCCAAAGGCTGAAGACTGAGGCTTCCCTGATACCATAGTGACTTTTTTTTTTTCTTGTAGCAAACACATACAGAAGACCATTCGCCTGAAAAACCAAAATCACCTAACCCCAAACAAGGTACAGAGAGTCTTCTCCACCATCACTGAGTGATCTGTTTAAGTGTTTGCCCAAGATGCTTACCATCATTTTGTTTTTAACTTTCGGTCCTTAGAAGTTACCTCAAAACACGAGTATCCTTCAGATATGCAAGAACCATCAATTCAAACTCGGGCTTCTAAAGTAAATGATACAAAGTAAGTGGTTTTCATTTTTCACATATTTATCTTGTTTTTTAATGGTCATAGTAATTGTACACATTAATGTTTCCAAGCCTGTCTGTATCTGTAGTAAGTTGCATGTTTATGGAGACATTGTGATATATCCGTATATGTATCAGCATAGTAATTGCAATGTTTATGGGAGATAGGTTTTTTTTTTTTCCATACAAGTACCAACTGTGTAACGATCAATGAACAGAACACATCCATCTTAAACATTCATCATCTCTGTGTAGTGAGAGCATTTGGGAGCCTCTTGTCATTTTGAAATGGAATCTACAGTGTTGTTGACTTAGTCACCTCAATGTGAGGCCAACACCAGGGTCATTCCTCATGTCTAGCTGTAATTATGGACCAATTGTACCCCATCACACCCTCTCACTTAGATCCTGGTGACCACCATTTTATCTTCCCCTCTATAGGTTGGCGTGTGTGGATCCCACATGACCGTGAGGTCATGCAGTTCTTGTCTTTGTCCCCCTAGTTTATTTCACTTAGTGGAATGTCCTCCAGTGTCACCCATGTTGGGAATTTCAGGATTTTATTCTTGGTGGCTGAGCAGTATTCTCGTGTGTATATATACCATATTTTCTTTATCTGTTCATCTCTTGGTGAACATTTAGGCTGATTCCCCATCTTGGCTATTGTGAAACTACAGAGTCACACAGATGATTGCTCATTATGAGCACTATGTGGGGGCACTTTAGAGTTTTCCCTTTTTCCTAACCCGGACTTTCCCATCTAAACTCCACGTGAAGTTTTCTATAGAATAATTGAAGCTGTGTTGGCAAACTCTCATACCGTGCAGGCCCCTGCTTGCATACCTTCAGAATTGTCTTCAGCTACATATTTTTTCTGCTGAATTTTTAGATTAAACACAAGATCAGCACACAAAACACGGGCTTTTTCTGATTGAAACACAAAGCAGAACCGTTTGCAACAGCATTAGGACATGATATACGTAGGGATTAATTTTCAGGGTACTTAAGACACAACTGTAAAAGGACTACTCCAGAACACAGTGAGAGAGAAAGATTAAGTAGATGGAGAGATACTGTGCTCATCAGAGGGACAATTGAATACCAAGATGTCAGTTCTGCTCAAGTCAATCTAAGTATTTATTATAACCCCCAGTTTGAATATCCACAGGCTTAAAAAGAAACTGGTGAGCCATTTGTCACATCCTTGTGGAAACTTAAAGATCCTGGGATATTGAAACAGGTTTTCAAAAAGGAGCAAAGAGAGAGGGCTTTCATACTATCTGCTCTCCAAACTTACTAGAAACTTCCTTAACTAAGACAGGGTGATGTTGCCATACAGATATGGAAATATACTAGCTGGGAGTCAAAGGGGTTCAGGTATGTGGATTGTTGGGATATGATGAAAATGCAGAGGTGGTTCAGTGGAGAAAGACAGGGTTTTCTATAAACAATGTGAAAATAACAATGTATTATGCAAGAAAAACAAATGACCTCCCAATCTTTTCACTGTATAAAAATTAACTAAAAGTGGGTCATAGGCATATATATATATAAAACTTATGTGGAACAAATACGTGACTTTGCATGGGGCAGTTTTGAAGATATCAAACCAAAAACAGCCTGTAAAAAACTGAACTGATAAACTAGACTTCGTCACGATAAAGCAAGCCTTTGTCCTTGTTGAAAATCATTGATAGAAAAGACAAGACCAGCCACGGCCTTATTGAAAATATTTGTAAATATTTGCTTCTGGCCTTGTTAAAAATTTCAGTGGTAAAGATACAAACCAATGCAAATAGAGGCCAAAGATTTAAACAAGCTCTGTCCCAAAGAAAAACCTGCAAGGCAGCCAAAGAGCATGAGAGCTGCTTCGTGCCACCGGTTCCTAGAGGACGTCAGGTGACAGCAAGATGCGTTGAGCATCGTCAGGATGGCAGCTGCCTTAGAAATGCTGTCTGTACTTGATGACGGAATGGAGAGGGCAGGACTCTCATGCCTGGTGGTAGTTTCAAAGCATCGAATATAAACCTATCCTCTGGTCCATTTGTTCCAATCTTGTGTATTTCCCAAGATGTCTGTCAGCCTGTGTCCACAAAGGGAATGTGTGCAGATGTTCACAGCAACTTGAACATCAAATAGGAACAATTCAAATGTTCATCAGTGGATGAGTGGATGAACATATTTTGGTAAAGATGAGTGTCCCTGATCCAAAGACCTGGGGCAAGAAGTTTTTGGGGTTTAGACTTTGGAATATTTGTGTGTATATATAATGAGATATCTTGGGAGTGAGACCCAAATCTAAACATAAACATCATTTGTCCTTGACATGCCTGATGCCGTGGGACAATGTTGACTTTAGCTGGTGTTTCAGCACACCTGCAGCTCTCCTGACCTGTCACACAAGGGCAAAGGTGGAGTTGTCTACTTGCACCATCTTGTTCGAACTCAGGATGTTTTGGGCTTTGACATTTGGGGTTTTCAGATTTGGAATAGCGAACTTGCATATCAGTGTCAGATTTCTTAATTCCTTTGGATATAAACCTAAAAGCGAGATTGCAAAAATCATAGTGTAGTTCTATCTTTAACTTTTTTTCTGTTGCATCATATTATTTCCCATAGAAGCTGCCCACCAACAGTCCACACAAGTCCCAGGCACCCTGCAGCTACTTATGCTAATAGCCTGGATATTTGACAAGAGGTTACTTACTCACTGTTAAGCATAGACAAGGAACTTATAAAACTCAATTAAAAAAAAAACAGATTAAAGAACAGGTAACATCTCTCCACAGAAGACGTGCAAGTGACCAATTGATACTGATACTCAGCATTACCAAACACCAGGGACAGCTTTTGTTTAAAAGTCTTGGGTGGAACCAGGCTTGGGTTATCCCATTTTTGAGTATCACCTGTGCTGGCAGGCTACCTGCCAATCCCACCCTGCCCTTTCCTCTTATATCTGAGAGATGAAGCACTCCACAAAGGTTCATTCTCTTTGGAATAGCAGTAGCCCCCTTCCAGACAGTCTATGGAAGAGGTTGTAAGGTACGTTTTATATGCAGAACTGATTATATCGCATGGACAACATCCATGATCAAGAAGCCAAACCTTTGCAGTGAGGAGGAGGGTGAAGGAGGTGGTATCTGCCTGTTAATGTGATATATTTTATTTTAGGGATGATTCTGCCTTTGAGAGGGACGGAGAACAAGACAGAAGGATGCCGGTAATGTGGGAGTTTCTATTGTTTTAAGGCAAGACTTCCCAAATGTCTGCCATGTGCACATCGTCTTCAAAATTGCCATAACCCTGCTTCTTGTTGTCTCAATTTGTTTTCTCAAGTTCACTGGACAAGAAATGATTGAAATAACACTGATTTTACATTTGAAATTGCAAATAGTAGGTAGACTCTCAGACAAAGAATGATAGAAAATAGCAATACAAATCTACTGGTATGTACAGTTACTTATTTTTCTGTTTTTTTTTTGTTGTTGTTGTTCATTATATGCTGTAGTTTTTTACTGTGGCAAGGTAAATCTGCAGCCACCTGCCTCATCCAGTTAGATAGATGAATGAGATCAATGAAAAAAACTAGAACTTCATGGTAAATCCTGTTTGCTGGTAACTAGGTCATGGAAGTTTTAAAACCAAATCCTTTCAGCCAGTCTTTTGTACAGTAGTGCATGTCCACAAACCTTCTCCTTGTCTCATGGTAGATGAGAGATGATAGGTTCTTTCTCTGGCTGTGGCCCCAAGAGGCACATTGGGTATAAATGGGCATTTCTAGGGCGATGAACATGGAAAGCCAAAGAAATCTATCAAAAGGACACATGGGTGGTCCTATTTCAACCCCCTAACCTGTTAAGTTAAATTGGACCCAGAGCCTAAAATTCATTCTTGCTTTAAAAAAGAAAAAAAAAAAAGACTAGTAAATAGATACACTGTACACTGAGACTTACCTTTAGTGGAATTTGACCTGTTAAAGAACTGAAATGGACCAGATGAGGTGGCTCACACCTGTGATCCCAGCATATGGGAGGCTGAGGCAGGAGGATTTCTATGAGTTCAAGGCCAGCTTGGGCTACAGAGTGAGACTGTGTCTCAAAACTATCGAAGAACAAAGACAAAATGAAATGTTTCTGACTCGGTGTTTACAGACATGGTTTTCTGTCTTCAGAAGACGAATGGCCATCACCCAGTGAGCCTCGGCTAGTGGCCTCTCACCTGGGAAAGCACAGTACCCCAAGCCTGAAGTCTCAGTGTATTTTTAAAAATCCCAGAAATGAATACTGAAAAGAAAGGATTTTCTAAACTGAGATCATGAGCTGCCAACAAATGTGTCCTGGCTTTTCCTGGCTTTCTCCCACAGCCATTCTTACTTACCCTTGGCCCCTGAGACTCAGAGGGTTCCTACCTGGGGTCTGTAGACAACAAGGAAGTCCAGGACCCTGCTTGGGAAATATTGAAACAGAACACAGCCAAGCATTGGGGATTAAAAAAAAAAACCCAGAATTGAGTTTTTGTTTTTGTAACAGACTGCGAAAATCAGCTGTGAGGAGGGAAGTTCTGTCTGGTTCATGGTCGCTGCTCTAGGATGCGACCTGGGAAAATGGAGCCAATAAATGAGGCAGACTAAAGTCTCATGCAATAGTTAACTATTCAAAGCCTGAGACCATTTCTCCTCTGAGGGATAAGAAAGGTTCTGCAAGTAAAGTTCTCATGAGTTCAAGCTATATACAATCACAAGGACAAGCCACACATGGCAAAAAACAAAAACAAACGAAAACACCCCCAAAGAACGTTTTTCCATAGAGACATAGAAAGGACCGTCTAAACATTTAATTAATACAACAGCAAACAGTAATGAGTAATATGAAGTAAACTCACTCTTATCTGCTACACCTGGGGAAGCTTGGGAACACATTCCAAGAACAACTCCATGCTTTAAAGAAACCGAGGTCACAAGACTCTTGTTTTCTTGGAGTGTTCTCACAAGCAGTGAGATTTGTCCTCACACAACTCCATCCTGGTCCGCGTTCCAACAGTTCATGGTGTCAGAAACTTCAGTCTGTCACTCCCTGGCCTGTTGACTTGGCCTGTGGTGGCGTGGTAAGTCCTGGCAAGGGTGCCTGTGGGAGGAGATGGTCTCACCTCCTCCCATGGGCACCCTTGGAAGCAAGAAGGGGGAATAGGAAGGGTGCCACTGTCCCCTTCAAAGGCACCTGCAGGGAAGTCGCTTCCTTAACCAGACTCTGTGGCCCCAAGGCTGCATCACTTCCAGCAGCGCCCAGAGAGGGCAGCAAACCTTCAGTGCAGGAGCCCTTGGGGGAATGTTTGGAACCCAAACTGTAGTAATCGCCAACCCCCAATGATTTCTTGTGTGTAGTCAAACGTAAGAACCATTTTTGTAAGTCATTTCCACGTTTTTGTAAATAATTTCCAATACCCTTTGTTGTAAAATCCAAGCTGGGTCAGCCTTGCTGAGTGGCTTTTTAAATTGGATGCTTTAGATGAAGGGTTGCTCGTTCTCTGTGAGCTACTAGGTTGAAAAGCTCTTGATCAAAGCTGGAATGTGTGTGTGTGTGTGTCTGTCTGTCTGTCTGTCTGTCTGTCTACACTCGTGTGCATGTGTAGGGGAGATTGTTTTCCAACTGTCGTTTTTTCCCTAAGTAAAGAGTAATATGTAAATAAGGCTGGCTGCCAGTTTCTTCCAGGAATTACCTTCTCTGTACGTTGTGTCTAGAAGGAGCTGACTTGTACAAGGAGGTATAGTCTATATGCACAGTCGAGACTCTTCAGCATTTCAAAAGAGGGAAATCAGGTCATTTTTGAGAACATGGGTAAATACAGAGGACAGGTGAAATGAGCCAGGCACAAAAGGAATTTCACTGCATGTGAATCTGAAATAGTTGAATGCGTAGAAGCAGAGAGGAAAATGATGGTTACTAGGGGTTGGGAGGGTGGAGGAGGTGGGGGTCTGAGGACACAAATTTTAGTTAGACAGGAGGTTCAAGAGATACATGGTATATGCAGTGACTATAGGCAATAGTGTTTTACACATGACAGTACTATGAAAATAGTGTCAAGGTGTTCTCGCTATTAAAATTATGCAGGTGAAGTAACGCATGGACTCATTAGATTGATTTGACTATTTCATAAGGTACAGGTATATAAAAATGTTTGTATACAATAAATATGTGCAATATTTGTCAATTTAAAAGGAAGTGAGAAGTGCTTTTAATGCAAAATGCTGACCTGATGAACATTTTAAAGAAGGATGAATTTGGTTTGTAAAACATGAATTCAAGCTGACCATAACCTTACATGTTATGGTCGTGGCATTACAACCGGGATTGAGATTGGTCTGATCCTAAATTAGCGACAGCTGTGGAGCTGATTCTCCTTTCAGATGGGTCTGTGTCTAGCAGCTTGTTGAATCTCTTGTTCACCCTCTAGAACTCTGGTAGCTGCTCTTACATTTCTAACTGACGATAGCCTAGGCTTAATTTCAAGATGCTTTAAGCTTAAACAAATGCTGTTTTTGTTTGCTTTCAGCACTTATAAAATAAAACAAAAATGTTTGTTTTGCAAAGACATCCATCCCCCTGCCTCCTTTTGCCTCATTGTGGGTAAAACTTGGGGCTATATATGTTAGAAAGGCACTCGGCCATGGAGCTCCATCCCAGTCATGGGGAAGAGGGTTTTCACTTGGTTTTTGTTATGTCGATCTGTGCTTGAAGTTGTGATATTGGTGTAATATTAGCATGCCGCTGCTTTGGGACAGTTACCAATTCCTTTCCAGTTCCAAATACTCTACTAGAGAGAATTGTCATCCTTTTACACAGCACTTCTCATGGTAATTGACTCCTGGATGAGCTCCTTTTCTTCCTGCTTAATTCTGTACCTTATTATTGTGGAAGAGACCCTAATCTTCTAGCAAGAGGTGTTTATTCAAAGACAAATCATAG